AGTATTTTTAATCTTAAAATGAAAATTACTTTGCATGTTAGCTAGGCAAGATGTGAAAAAAAAAGGCATGAAAGAAACATTTCTTTACAAACCTCAAGACTTAATAAAAAAATTATATTTTGCATATGAAAGCATTGTAATGTTTACTGATAATCTACCAAATTTCATCAACATTCACTTACTAATTTAAAAGTTATAGCATGAAAACTATAACACGCACAAAATGGTTATGAGGTCGGCCCCAGTGACCAAGCCCAGGCTGAAAGAGTTAACTGAATGTGCATAGGATTGATCCATTGGACTGATTCCATATTGGAAAAGGAATGTTTACTATTTTATTGGGTGTACCTACATGTAATGTGGAAAGCTTGTAATAAAATGTACAACTACAAATCTGTTGCACACGAAAATCAGGTACTTTTACGTTATACATCTGCAACTGTTACCGTTAGTGTTTAAGAATCAATTATATTAGTTTTTTTTATCACTAGTTTGTCTTCACACTAAAGTAAATCATAAAATAGGCTAAATACATTGTACTAATAAAATTATATATACATCAAAGGCTAGTTATAGTCACTTCTAATAAAGTTCTATTTCTAAGTTCCATATAATTAAAGATAAACTTTATTATTTTAGAGTGAAAACAAACTATTGATTAAAAAATCTATTTTAATTGGTTTTTAAATGTTAGGCTTAACAGTAACAGTTGCAGGGATATAATGGAAAAGTACCCAAAAATCGATACCTAAAATTTACTTATGCAACAACTACTGAACCCCCAAAGGCACAAATTATAAGGGAGAATCTCACAAAAATACACCCACAATGCCTCAAAATCAAATAAAAATGATTTTGCTGAACCATGTGCCCATCCCTTTAAAAGAAAAATTCAAGCTACATGGCACATTTCTCACACAATTTCCTAGTTTGTTTAATTTTGGTATATCTTTATAAAGTATGCAAGTATGATTCCATAAATCACTAGTTTGAATTGTTTTGTACTATACTAAGTGATACTTGTACTAAATTCACATTTTTACTTAATACATATAGTTTTAATAATACAGGATTTTTACTCCAAACAGGGAGTCCCAGATAATTCTAGTTCTTGGCCCACAGAAATAACCGAGCACAAAGCTGCATTTGCAAAAAAATAAAACTCCCATAAACAAAATACTAAACTACTGTACACCAATCATCAAATGAAAAAAGTCTACAGTACTGCTGAGTGTACACGGTTTATTTCAAGACAATTGTATACCCACTAGTTATAAAATCAGCATGATCTCTAAACATTTCCCCACCATTTTTCAAAGACAAATGTCATATACAAAAACAGGGCACTAGCATGTCAGTATATATCAAACAATAGCTCTCTCTTCATGCTCTTTATTGGTCTGTGAGGTTTTTATGTACCCAGAAGTATTTTCTATATGAAAACACACAAACATTAAAACCATTAATTAACACTTATTTGTCACTGAATTTGAAAAAACAGTCATAGAATAAACTGTGTGGTCCGTATTATATAATTCATAAACACACACATATATATATATATATATGTTTTCCCAATTTCAACCAACAGCATGTCAGAAAAATGTATTGGACCTGTAAGCAGATAATATGTTGCCTTGACAACAGTTTGCTTCATGTCAGGTATGTATCTGTCCATCATGAAACCAACTGAATACAAAATCTCTTCTTTATTTAAATAGGTAAATATGAAGTTCATACTTGATTTTCAACTTACTGTTAACAGTTTTCATTTCATATTTCGATATGGGTCTTAAATTGAAGTACTTTATTAGGGTTACATTTTATCTCACCTTCTCACAAGTTTCACACAATGTCTCAGGCTACCAGATAAAGTAATTTTGTTTGCATTTTTTCAATTAGTCATTTGTGTGGTGCAAAACGTCAATTTACGGGTACGATTATTGTTTTTTCATTAATTACTAAATAAACAATTCACATTACAGTTACTAATTTTTGACAATGGAATCCAGTTGAGTAATTGTTTTTATTTTCACTATTTAATTTTAAAAATCAACGAAACCACCTACTGCAAAAACTTATTTCAAAAATATTTACAGGTCATAAGAATTACTCAATGAATGTTAATCCCTAAAAATTCAAACATAATAATCATTAAACTTAAAGACAAAGTACATACCACTGACACTGAGTTTCAGCCATTTTTCTTTGCATTTGTCGTAAACCTACTTACTCGTATTGCTAAGTCTACTACCACTACTAACGAGAACGGTAATGGTGCGTACTACTACTAGTGTTTGAAAACCCTAACAACACGTTTAACCCTCCCTTAGAAGTTAGAGTTAGTCTCAAATTCTTGTTCCAAAGAAGCGTTCACTTTCTATATAAAAACATATTCAGACACCAAATTTGAATATGATGAATAAAATAACGCTGACAACAAAGAGAACTGAACACTGTGTTAAAATATATAATTCACCATTAAATTTTATACATCAGTATCACTTTCTATTTTGTCGACTCAACTTGTAAGCAATATTTTCTAACGTTAGTCACGAAGATTCATGCGCAGTTTAATACTACTTAAAAATAGTTCGTTAGTCTGAATGCCTGATAAGTTTCGTTTTAATTTTATTTTAATTAGAAAAGAACAGTCATGTTTTATCTTAGAATACTTAAAGCAAAAAAGTTATTATACATTGAAGGAATTTTTTTAACGTTTCAGTAAATGCAAAACACAAGTTACATTTAATCTTAAGTACGACTACTAGCGTTAGATGGCAGCACTTGCATAGAACAGAAAAACCGACTTTTCTCAATTCGTGAAAAATGGACTCTAACGAAGAGGAACGAACTTTGAGAGATTGTGAACAGTATGTCAGTAATCACAATATACAACAAATTCTGAAGGACTGTATCATGCAACTATGTATTAGTCGTCCGGAAAATCCAGTTTCATTTTTGAGGGGCTATTTTCAAAGACTAGAAGGGGTACATTTTTATTTATTTACTTCTAACTTGTATTTATATTAATTACTATATGTTGACATTGTCCGTGACCAGTCAGGCAGTCTAGCAGTAGCAGTAGATTAAGATAAATTAAATGTTTGCTTCGTTCTACATGTCAAGGGCTTAACGGGGATTTAATTTTATTGACGCAAAAACTGATTTAGAGTAGAATTTTGTCCTTTTTTTTTTATAAAGCTGCTTATAGTTATAAACTTTCACCTACTGCCATGTTTTGGGCCGATTTGTCCATGGCAACTGCTGTGGGTGCCTAATTCACTATTTTGAGTATTTAGTAATTAATTGCAAGTTAAGCCCAAGCATGGAAACATAAAATTAAATGCACAAGTACAAATTTGGTGAATAATCGATTTTAGTTTTGAAGACTTTAGGGAAATATAAAAAGATTTATAGGAAATATTTTTAAACTGTGTTAAATGTCAGTAAAATGTTAAAATGGGGATTGTACCAATAAATATGCTGATACTGAATGCAGAATTTTGTTAAACTTAAAATTTAAAGACTGGCCAGGAGATTGCTGAGCTTTTATTTTTAAATGTTTTCTTCTGTAGAGCTAAAATCCTCAAGTACATGCTTGTAATCTACTGATGTGCAAAAATGAAAGAGAAACTTTCATATCCAATCTTTGACCTCCTTTAAATCTAAGAGAATACTTTGGCTGATTCTTGTACTTCATCTCTTTTTAATCTCTTAATCTTTCTCCTTATCACCAAGTGATTAATATCTAAATTATTGTGGTCAGTTTCACGATCTCCCATAGAATGCTTAAGCAATCTCATGGACATCAAAAACTGCTTTACCATTAACATCCTTTAAGGGTCATTTCCCAATTTTAACATTTTGCTTACCTTTAACATACTTAAAATCCATGCAATAAAGCATTTTTCATATGCTCTTTTCTATTTCCTGATTTATTTCTTAACCACATCTCTCTCTGTAGCTTTCCAATAGCTCTGTATATCTTCCACCCTATCTGTCATGTGGCTAAATCTCAAACCTAATCATGCAATGATCATTCTTTCTTAAATGTTCCTCTACATAACTTGCAACCATACCCTATTAGTGGTTAACAATAAATCTTAAATGGTACCCCCCTGTGGTTGGCTCTCTTACCATTTTGTTTAGAAAAACACATCACTTCAAGATACTTCTTTCCCTTACTATTTGACTCTATACAATCAGAGTCTCCTGTAATTAATGCATCATTCTTCTTAATAGCAATCCTAATATAATTATATATAATTTTCTAATTTACATCATGTATCTAATCAGGTTACCTATTAGAACTGGCAATTAAAAACTTTCTTTCTTCCCTTGAAACCCCTAATTGTAACCCATATAGATATAATTATTTTATCTCAATCCTTACGTAAAGATTCATCCTCCTCCACACTTTTAAAAGTCTATTGCTATTAAATATAACTTATAACCTGGAGTTTTGTTCAGTTTGTCATATTTGTAATTTAGGAAGTGAATTATTTGTGATTTTTGTCTTAATTTTTGCTAAAACAAAATATAATGGCTGCTGGGAAAGTTGGAAAAGATCCTTCAAATTGGGAAGTTTAAGGAATAATATGGCTCTTGGGCCGGATACTATTTCCTCCAGAGTTTTGAAAGAGGTTAAGGATTGTGTATATGGACAGGTGTCAGAAGATTGAAAGTTGCTTAGTGTTACCCCTCTTTTCAAGGGAGGTGACAAAAATTGTCTGTTCTAATTATAAGCCTGTTAGTCTTATATCAGTGGTGGTAAAAGTTTTTGAAGGTTTGACAAAAAATGTTTTGCAAAGTCATTTGACAAAGTTTAATATTTTGTTGGATAGTTAACATGGTTTCAAAAAGAGGAAAATCTTGCCTTACTAATCTTTTGACATTCTGTGAATAGGTTACTAGTTATGAAGATGAGGTTTAGGGTATGGATCTGGTATATCTTGATTTACAGAAAGCATTTGACAAGGTGCTATGTGAAAAGTTTGTTAAAAATAATCTGTATAAGTGTGGCGTATAAGTTCACTTGTTAGATAAAAAAATTGGTTATCTCAGAGTTCAGTGTTAAGAACTTTGTTCTTCTTGGTTTATATCAGTGACATAGATGAAAGAATGTTCAATACATTGCTTAAATATGTGATGATATTAAGGTCATGGGTGTTGCTGGCTGTGAGGCAGCTGCTTCTTTACAAAATGGTTTGGATTATTTAGTAAGTTGAGCAAATAAATGGCAGATTGCTTTTAATTATAATAAATGCATGTGGGATATCATAATTTAAATTATAAGTATATTTTTGATGGGAATAACCAAAGTAGTATCATAGAAGAAAAGGATCTTGGTGTTCCAGTTAATCAATCTTTTAAGCCACTCAAACAATGTGCTGTTGCTAGTGGAAGAACAAATAGGATTTTGAGTTGTATCTAAAGAAATATTAAACAAGTCCAAAAGAGGTTATAGTGTCATTTCTTATGCTATATTTGGAGTATTATGGTTAGGAAGGACATTCTTCTTGTCATGGCCACCACCTATCCTTATATGTTTTTTTTTATCCAGTGCTGTGCACAGCTGACTGCATGTTCAGCAAGGTCTTCTGCTGTGCATGGAACCTGGAATTATGAACAGATTAGATGAGTAAGTGTTCCATCATCTGCTTCTCACTGCAATTACAGGCAGCAGGTTCACTGGAGAACCCACATTTCAACATTTTGGCTCTAGACCTGCTGATCTGAGAACATAGGCAATTGAGAGCTTTCCAGGTTCTCCAGCCCTTTTCCACTCCTCTGGGGAGATTCTCAGCTAGGAAGAACATTGAATTGTTGGAAAGGATTCATAGGTGGGCTACTAAGATTATAACTGGAATGGAAAGGTTGTCATGTGAGGACATATGTTAAGGTTATTGAAATTATTTTCTCTTGAAAAAAAAAGAAGTATTAGAAGGGATCTGATTAAAGTGTTTAAGATTGTTAAGGGAATTGATAGTGTCGATGCATCATCGTTTTTTCATACTTAATGGTGAGAATGGTAAAACAAGGAGACACAAATACAAATTATGGCAGGGTAGGAGTCATCTTCAGCTAAGACAACTTTATTTTTCAAACCTGATTTTTTTGCTTTTGGGATAGGATATCTTAAGATTTGGTGAATGCAATTAAATGAAGGGCATTTAAAGGACGGCTTGATAAATACTTGAATGATAAGGGCTGGCTTTGAATGTTTTATTTTGATTTTAAAGCTTAATTTAGTGTATGGGATGGCCTAGATGAACCAATAGGTCTATTGTTCTCCTTAAATTATATGTAAAATAGTTTATAAACCCATCACAAGATAGGAAAAACATTTTTAATATATATTTTTTCTATTCATGCTGTAACAAATTCTTCTCACCAAAATTTCTTGATGTTGATAGCTTTCTTTTACATTATACTGTCTAGAAACTTAATTTTACACTTTCACTACATGTGCATATACTAAAAACAATATGAGGTAGCACTATTCCTCATACACAAATATAACATGAGGTTTACCTGAAACACTACTTCATTGAAATCCTTGATAATTTTTACTTTGCTTTTATCTACAACACAAGATCAAAGAAGTCTGAGAGGATTTCATAAATACACTCACAAAAATAGAAATAACAAAATGTAATTAACTTTATCACAATACGATAAGTGAGCCTAAGGTACTACTTTTTTGTAATTAAGGCTAAAGTGAAGACATAGTGTAGAATCACATAACGTAGGCCCAAGTGCACAAAGTTTCTCATGAAATAAAAAATATCAGTTTAGTTTTAAACCTAAATTATTTTGTAATTAAACTATTTTGCTGTTATATTACTGAACTTAACAAAATAAAAACAAATATTTTTAATCAATGCAGATACTAAATTAAGAAATCAATAAATATTTTTTTCAGTTTCATTAGGCACGTATGCAGAAGTTTTGAAAGGGGGTTCTAATTTGTGAGATCAAAAGCCAACACATATTGTGAGAAGCATGATCAGCATGCTAATGTTATGGCATGCCCCCTCCCCAAAAAAATTTGTGAAATATAGGTGCTATGATATTTAATCTTAAAGCAATTTTGCATGAAATACAGCTTAAACAATTGCATGGCTGTTCACATAAAATCCACAAACATCCAATGAAAACTCAACGAATCATCATTCTATTGTAACACTGTATGTGGAGCTAGACTTAAAATTAGGATAAATATGTATGTTTTATTATATTAAGGTACTGTACTATCTACATGCAGAGTTGTTATTAATTATTAAATTATATTACTCATTTAAACAAGTCTGTACAACAATAGTATATTAGCTGTTTAAATCATTGGCATATGTACATGTATGCGCTACTGAAATAACATGTTAGCATGTTCCATTCTTCTGGGATGCTTTTCCTTAAATAACTTATGTAAGCAGAATGCACTTCTAGCTTTGCAGTACAAGAATGCAAGCATACTCTGTGAATCTTGGGTGAGTTGTTGTATTTTGAGATTTTTCTGAAGAAATCTTGTCTTAAATTCAAGCCAATATGTTATTC